ATGACCCACTGTGACATTTGTTCAGCCGAACTTGCCACCAACACCGAGCTGCCGTCACCAGACTTTCAGTTCTCCGAAAGCAGCAGCTTGCGAGGGCCGGCCTCGCTCGCACTGAGTGCCCAGTCAGCGACTATATCAAGGCTGGCCTCAATCTGCGTGTGGTGTCTGCAAGTGGCCGTGGAAACATGAGCCCAGAAGCGATCATGATCCAAGACGCTCGCAGCCGGATGAAGCGTGCAGACAAGTGTGGCTTCCAGAGCATCGAGGATCGCTTCGAGCATGACGTCCAGTTCATGGAACGAACGCTGCAAATGGGCTATGACCATCGGGCAGCGCAGCGGCAGGATTGGCTTTGCCATGCTCACTTGGCGAACCCGCCGCGCAACAAAGCGCAAGTCAGCCTGGGCCTTGGATATGACGAAGATCATTCTCTGGCACGGCTGTGTAGCGCCCGATCGCTATCCACAAGCCATGGATTACATTCCTGAGCAATGGTGCGTGATCTATCGCGCAAACATCCTCTCCTTGCGTGAGTATATCGAGTACATCAACTCACCTGACTCCCATCGTGGCCTTTTGGCTTGGGACGGCGTGCATCAGATGAGCCAATACTGCGCAATGGAGGAGCTTCGCCAGCTATGCCACGACAACCTCTCCGCTGCCAGGCGTGATGTGGTCAACAAGCAGACTCAAGAGCAGCGCCAGCAGCAGAGCAAAGGCAAGCGCAAGTCCTCTACCGGAGGTGATGGAACTCCAGCTTCAAAGGCAAAGGGAGGTCCGCCACCCTCACCGGTGAGCCCACGTGCATCCGGATCAGCATCGTCCTCGTGGGGATGGAGCTCATGGAACTGGAGCGAGTGGGGCGAGCAGCGGCAGTGGGACCGCCGTTCGTGGGACTGGAGCTCGAGTCGGAGCCAGTGGCATTGGCGTTAGTTGAGCCAAGTCTCAACCTTTTTGCCTGAGCGAGCATAATTCATTGCATGACATCCATTGTCAATATGTATGCGGTTTTCCTCCCAAGTCCAAACTTTCAATTTCTTTTGGCGGCGGGGAGTGAATAATTAAAATGCACGTACAGGGCCACGAAGGCAGTGGATTGCTAGCATCCACAACTGCCATGCAGCCTTGAGCCGACATCACTGTCGTGCCCTGCACAAGCCCTCGTGCACTTTCCGCGTCCAGCTTCGGGAGCAAAGCTACCTTAGCTGAGGGGGGTGTATTTTCACTCCATGTAATATGTACACTTTGTACCTTGCACATAGTAGGATGTCATGTAGACCTACCTTTCGCAGCTCGCGGCCCAAAACAGGAGTTGCAGCTTAACGGCTGTTTCTATAGTTTGAAGCATATCATAAACTTGTAGAAGAATATATTAAGATCTATTCAGTGAAGAGTGATGCCTTCACGATCCATGAAGACGATTTAACTAGAGTGATGGGCAAACCAAATCATTTTATAAAAGGGCACTGGAGACTGACAAATAAATTAGTCAATTTTCCAACCAATAAATACATATGTAGATATAATGACTTAGTTGCAGTTCCAAAAATAGAAAATGCACCAATAGAGGTGGTGGATGAATGGGACAGGGACACCCCCGCAATATGTAAGCAAATTGAAGAACAAAACCCATGCATGATCAGAGCAAAATTTGCTGGATCGGGCAAGAGTTACATAGGTCAGTATTTATATTGAATGCATAAACATGTTTTGTTTGTAGTGCCTCAAAACCGGTTAAGTCAAGAAATAGAAGGTTACGCTCATAACCAGAGTTTCATCATAGCAATTTTGATGTAATCTTCTTTGATGAAATCTAGTCAGGTTTTGAACCTTACTGAAAAACAAAAGGACAATAAAATCATCATAGGCGCCGGTGATACAAAACAGGTAGAACCAATGAATGATTTAATTACACCCAGTCAAAGACCACAATATGATCAAACATGTGCTGTTCAATTGGTCCTCTGAAATCTCACCAAATCATTGCAAATAACCAGTGAAATTGTCTAACAGGGAGGTTTTTCTTGGGAGGTGTAGCATACATACATATATATATATATATACACAAAAGTATTGAATCCGATATTTATGATGCTTCGAGCTCGCAGAAGGTTTCACAATGTGAGCCCTGGGCTCAACAGCGCGTTCTTGTGAATCTGCTGCACATGCCGTGTTCTCTATCTACCAGTTTATCTAGACCAAGGCTCACAAAACACAAACGCTCCTGAACACATACCTTACTCCCGGGCATACTGCTTGGTAGCCTGTGCCTGTGCCTCTCACATGCCAAATCCAAGCAGGGCATGACCTTTGACTTTGAGCAGCTAGAAATGGCCGAACAGGTGAGAGAATGCCAGAACTACGAAAGAGAGACGGTTGAAAAAGAGAGTCGGAAAAGCGACAGGCGTGATGGAAATGCTGAGTTCCCCTTGGATTTAGAGCCATTTTCATCGTCCTTTGGGTCTTCCTCGGCTTCAAGACCGCGAAGCAGAGCCAGAACTTGGTTTGAGATCAAGCGTTTCTTTGAGGCAGATGCACGAGGATCCCCCAGTGGAAGGGCACATTCTGTTCGACAGCTATTGCTGAAGACTGTTCATGAACGGTTACACCAAGATGGGTTTGTACTGATCGACTGCTACCTGCCGAAGAATGCAGCACAAGATCTCGCAAAGCAGTTGGAGGTACTGAATGTGAAGGATCAAGTTGCGGCTGGATATAAAGAGGCTGTCCAGCCTTGGGTGGGGAGTCACTTGCTGCAGTCAGCATTTACACTTCCACAGCCTGTTTCAAGAACAAAAGAAAACCACGTTGCCCTTTCAAACCTGTGCAGCACTTGTGAGGTGAGCTTCTCAGGTGCAAGTGGAGAGTTATCCGTTTTTAGACCAGATACAAAAGAAGGATTTCTTCTGTCCATGAAAGCATTCTTACACGCTGCAGCCAGTCGTGCAGAGACACACAGTGTTGCAACGGATAAGATTCCGAAGGTCCTCGTGAAGTTTTGCTTTGGCGAGCTTCCCAACCGAGAAGGCAGAGCTTTTGAAGCATGAAACAAAGCTGAGACCTTTGGCATCCTTTGGCTGCACACACACCTTCAGACCTCAGTGTGTAGATTCTTTGAACCCTGCACGCGCCCGAGAGTCCAGTTTCAGCCTGCGAACTCGAAGCAGATGTGATGCAAGCAAGGCCAACGAGAGTGGAGGTTCATGTATCATGAAGCTGCAGGCTGGAGTTCCAATTCAAGGCCGCGGAAGTATGTTTCCGAGACATGCGTGGAAATGCCTGATGCTGATGCTACAAAAGCCTCGACCTCTTTGAAGATGCGATCATAGACCAAGCCTAATGTACATGGCGACAGGCCAATTGTTCACTTATTTTTCAAGCTGTTTATATAGATCAAGCCACGTTGACAGGCTCAGAGACTTTGACAGAACACTGTGGAAAGTTTCAATTTGCTTCGTGGCATCGTGGATTCTAGTTCAGCATGCTCCAGCATGGTCTTGCAGTTAAACTTCGCACGAACATCCCTTCACCTACCAGAAGCAGCGATGGAAGAACATCACTGCTACAGACAGGTGCGCTGGAGATTGCAGATGTTTTGTGGTTTTTTTCCGTTCAAGTTCGTAGATTGAACATACACTGCAACACTGTATGAGTGTTCCAAGGCATGAAGAGACCTGCGTCAGAACTAGAGAGGGTATCGTCCGGGGCTTGAGAGCTCAGAGAGAGAGAGAGAGAGATCTCGGAGTATCACAGAGGCCGCATTTACTCAGTTTACTTCACGTCAATTTTTGCAGGCAAACTGAGCCTGAGTTGGCTGGTGATGCTGGTGATGCTGGTGCCCTACCCAGTGCTATTTTTGTGGCCTTGAACATCGAAGTTGATTGTGACATGGGCAGGTTGTGAAAGCAACCCATTTGCGGGTATATCTTTGTTCCAGAGCGGTGCATCTTCCCTTGTGAGCTCAACAACAGGGCCGGCACCTTTGCACTGGGAGTTGCCCATGCAAGGGGTAACAGGTAGTGATTGTTTGCCGATTCTTTTCCAGAGGGACAAAATATTTTCTGCCTTCAACACCTGGTGGTCGACTGCTGCATCATGCAAGCATTGAAATCATTCGCAAATAAGTCATGCAAACAATTAAATGAACGTAGCTATTTACCTCAGAAGCATTCCACGAATACTGACACATCATGAGAACCAGAGAAGTAACACTTGGAAGTCTTCTTGCAAAACGTTCAATGACGCATCACTTTGACTGCTCTTTCGGTTAGTTGCCAGTGGTTTTCCTCAGCAACTTATTAAACCTCTTTGAGGTTTCCTTCGAATGGAACGATGACAGAGGCCTTGATCTCCATGATTCAACCGTATTTAGGAGGCTTCTCAGTGCGACTTGATTCAACTGGTCGCAAGCCTAACATAAGAGGAGTTTTGCAAGCCGACAAGGTTCTGGCAAGTTGTGCAATTCTGACTGCAGTCAGTTCGATTTTCCACTTGCTTTCCTGCTTTCCACAGTCGGGCAATCCCTTTATGGGCTTGTCGCTCTTCTCTTCTCCAACATCAGGACATCATGGTCATACTCAAACGTTTTAACATTGTCCTGGGGTGTAGGCGCTACTAAGGTTAATTATTTTCTTAGGCTTGGACACAGAAGGATTCAGGCGTCCTCAGGGAAGCTCCCCGTCGCCCTCAGGCGGGGGGAGCTTCCTTGAAGAAGCCTGAGCCTTAATGAGTCAGAGTTAGACAGGTAGACGCGCTTTGTGAGGAAAGTTGTTTACTGCAGCAGTCACAACGCTGCAACAAAAGCCTCCTGGCGAGAAGCTCAAGCAGTTGAGGCTCATTGAAGCACACGTTCAGACTGATGAAGCATTTGCAGGTGATGCGGGGGACCAACCCAAGGCTGACTGTGAGGCTGCTGAGGTTGCAGAGGCTGCAGAGGCTCGATTGAAGTGTTTTGAAGACTGATACCAAATCCAGCAAGCAGGAACGCGAAGTAGACCAGGATGCAGCAAACGAAGCTGATGACGGAGAATCTGCGGGAGATGAGCCAACAGGCACCTGTCTATGTGCTCTATTTCCTTTGCCCTGACAACACTGCAGGGGAGGAGGATGAAGAGGTGATATTCCGGGCTGACTGCAAGCTTTGGAAGCTTGCCGGCTTGCCTGAATTATAGAGCGGATATCGGCCAATAACACCATTGTTTGCAACATCTAATTCAGTACATTTGATTGCCCATCCACGCTGCTACAGTTGCGGTGTTAAACCCAGCGAAATCTGGGAGGGTGTGAGTCGTGTAAGCATTCGAATTTAAGTAAATTTATTGGCAATCCAATCATGACAATCTATCATTTGCTAGGTGTATGATGGCCGTGATGCCAGTGTCACATTATGGTGAAACAAGCACTGTCAGCATGACAAGGTTTATATCACTTGAGTGACCGGACATGTCGCCAGGTCAAACTTGAAGACGGAAAAGCCGAGGCACAAGGGCGGACTTTGCACTCTGCACACTGAAAGCTTGTGGCGCCGCTGGTGTGATGTCAGCGAAACTGCAGTTTTGCATGATGCCAGGGCTGGCGATGGCAGGAGCGAGGCTGTGGCATCGCCTTTCCCTGAGAGATTTAGAAGAGAAAGGCTAGAAGGCGGGATAAAGACCCAAATATTCCGGAGTCACTTTGAGGTGCACATCAACAGGCACAAGACCAGCGGAGCTGGTCGTTTGGTTATGCGAATGCGTGGTGTTTTGAAGCTCCTGCTCAACACACCAATTTTTCCGACCACCAGGCAGGCCTGGAAAGCTGTGTCATCTCATTAGACTTCTATTGTAAATGCTTCAACTTCCCAAGTGGTGTGAGGTATGAGAAAGTTGGACAAAAGTCTGTGCGCTTCGTTGGTGTAGATACCGAAGAGTCACAGAGCTGTCATGGTGAGGCGCGGGTGGATTGAGTTACGTCTCACACCTTCATTTGCCTGGCGGTATCTCCCAAACAGTGTGGCATACATTAAGAGGTTCGAACACATTCTTGTGGCAATGGTGAGGCCCGTGTTTGAATGTACTTTGCTGATGACGTTTCGTGCGAGCGGCTTGCAGCGAGCAGGGCACCACATGGTGTTGCGAAGGTCCAGAGCAGGAGGTTGGCAGGTGCAGGAGATTGGACGGACACACGCTCGGGATAATGCACGTACTGAGGCCGCCAGAGCTGAGAAGAAACTTTGGTCAAAAAAGGGGGCCTGAGCAAACCAGGTTTCAGGAAATCAGCAATGGTAAGTGTCTCTCCGTCTGACGCTCAACTGTTGGTTCAATCTGCAGGCGTACTGTCCACAAAGCAAGAGTTTGAAAGCCGGCAGGAGTTCTTTCAGAAAGGAATTCAGCAAGGAATTCTTCCAGAAAGGAATTGCACATATGCACTGGAACATGTCAAATGTACAAGAGCGAAGCTTCACAAGTGAATCGCCATGACAATTAGATTTATATAGAAAAGACACTTAAAGCTGCAAGTACGTTTACAGCTCTCACCATTGGCCTCTTCATTAGCCATCCGCCAATGGTGAGAGGGATGGCCCCCTGCTCAAATACTAAAAGCCAAAAGGTTCCCTGTGACTGCAAGGGTTTCACACACACGCCTCCCGAGTCCTTTGTCCAAAACCTGGGCCACCTAATACCTATTTAAAATCTACGGGTGCGCGTATACACACCAAGGGCCGGACCGATGTGCGCGCAAAAGAAAAAAAGGAGTGCGATGACCGGACGTGAAGGCAGAAGAGACATGAAAAGAAAGGAGAAAAAGCGAGTGTGTGTGTGCCCCTTGGAGTCACAGGGGTCCTTTTGGACTAGAGATGTCTTTACGTTTTTCTTGCTTCAGCAGGGGGCCGCCGTGGCCGCTGTGCGAGCGAGAGAGAGAGAGGGAGGAACCTGCCGGTCGGGTTTTGCGCTGAGGGAGCTTGACCGAACGAGTTAAAGGACGTCACTGCCTGTGGCTTACTAAAAGCGATTCCCTGGACTTAGGGAAGCACTCAATTTGTTTTTTTACAGCAGGGGGATGAGGATCCCTTGGTGTGCCTAATTAAAAAAACGAACCAAGTGCATGTGATATCAGTGCCCGGCAAGCACTGCCGTACCAGCCTTTTAATTTTTAAGCCTTGTCTGCAGTCACGCATTGAGCTTTTGGCCCTGCTTCCTCTTGAAGACCTCCAGGCTCCGTAGGTTTACTTGACCTTTTCAGGAATTGGGTGCCCAGTTTGGCGTGTGGCAAGCGCTTTCACATCAGTATGCATTTCTATAAGTCTATAAGTAAGTGTGTCTCTCCTTTGTGAGAGGTCAGGGTGGGCCCCTGTGGACCCGTTGAACTGGGGTTTGTCTTTATCTCCCCTGCCCAGAGATGTACGTGTTCAGAGCGGACAGCAGGAGGCTTATGCCAAAGTTACTTGCCAAGACCTGACGGATTATTGAATTCTAAGTAGGCAGTCTTCGGACAAGCCATTAGGTGACCACAGCGCCCAGAGCAGCCAGCCATTTTGGCACGGCGTAGGTGGCCGCAGCGGCCGAAGCTACTTAAGGTTCATTGGAACCTATCGGGGGCCTTCATCCTCTTTCCTTCCCTTTCCCTCTCCCCTCTTCCTTCTTTGCCTTTTCTTGGGAACACCATCGTCTTGTTCCTTTTCTTGTTTGGTGTGTCCTTGGACGCTGGAGTCGTAGCTGGGAGCATCTCTCTCTCTCTCTCTTCTTTTCTTGTCGGGTGTGTCCTTGGAGGCTTGAGTCCTAGCTGGGAACACCGTCGTCTCGCTCCTCTCTCTCTCTCTCTCACTCATCTTTCCTTATTCTTCGTGGACACCGGCAGATCATTTGCTTGAGGGAGCTTGGCCGAACGAGTTAAAGGGAAGTCACTGCCTGTGGCTTGCTAAAAGCAATTCTGTATTGACCATTTACAGCCTGGACTTAGGGAAGCACTCAATTTGTTCTTTACAGCGAAGGGATGAGGATCCCTTGGTGTGCCCCATCTAACAAAGACCGCCGCCAAGTGGATGTGATATCAGTGCCCAGCCAGCGCTGACGTACTTGCCTTTCAATTTTGCAGCCTTTTCTGCAGTCACGCAGGCTCCGTAGGTTTACTTGACCTTTTCAGGAATTGGGTACCCAGGTTGGCGTGTGGCAACCGCTTTCGCATCAGTACGCATTTCTATAAATGTGTGGAGGGCAAATGAACGGGAAAACAAATGAAAGGGCCAAATACCTCAGTCCGCTCTGGACACCTCTTGGCCTGCGAATGATTGCCTGCTCAATGTCAGTATTTCATCAAGGCTTAAATTGACCTTGGCGTAAACCTCTTACGCTCGCTGCGAGCTACTCTAGTCCCGCGCACAAGGACGGAGACAAAACCTTGCTCGGCAAGGCCACTTGGTCAAAAAAGGGGGCCTGAGCAAACCAGGTTTCAGGAAATCAGCAATGGTAAGCATCTCTCTGTCTGACGCTCAACTGTTAGTTCAATCTGCAGGCGTACTGTCCACAAAGCAAGAGTTTGAAAGTCGGCAGGTCAAATTCAAAATTCACGGAGTTCTTTCAGAAAGGAACTCAGCAAGGAATTCTCCCAGAAAGGAATTGCACGTATGCACTGAGACATGTCAAATCTACAAGAGCGAAGCTTCGCAAGTGAGTCGCCGTGACAATTAGATGTAGAAAAGACAGTTATAAGTCAAAGCTGCAGGTACGTTTACAGCTCTCACCAGTGGCCTCTTCATTAGCCATCCGCCAATGGTGAGAGCAAAGACCAAAAGGTTCCCTGTGACTCCAACGGTTTCAACAAAGTGGCGGTGACTGGTTAGTGGCGCCAATTTTCTCGTCGCTGGTGATGCTACTTCTCTCGCCCCTCGCTTGGGTTCATTTGTTGTTTTTCACCGCATTCCTTTTTCACGACGAAGAGTTTGTCGGACAGGATAGAGGCCAGTGACTTCGCTCGAACGTCAGCACACCCCGACCCACCCCACCTCATCCCACCCATGATGATGGTGATCAGGATCGTGCGCCTTGATGACGTTGTCCAGAAGCATACCCCATGCGCCCCGCTCCAGCCCATGTAATTTAGTTGGGCTCTAGGCCCCCCAGGCGTGTCTGCGCAATAAGTACTCTGTTGTAGAGTCAGAGCGTAATTCATTTGTACTTTTGGCTCAAGGTTTAGCCTTGTACGCTCTGTACCACTGCCATAGCAGAAAAGAGAGCTCGCTGCGCTCGCTCTTGTGCTCTTTGGGCTACTCTGGTGTGATCGTTCACAGGTCCAATTCACATACTCTAGCGCTGCCACTTTGCGGAATTTACCGCTCAAAGTGGAAGCGGAGCTTGTGTCTCCTGCTTCGCTGCGCAAATCCACTTCGTGTGTGTCTGTTCTGAAAGGAGCATACCTGACTAATTCACAGCTGCTTCTTTGTTTGTGTTGAGTTGAGTCGTTGTCTTGCCGTTCAGCCTTGGGATTCGCTCGCGCATGTGGCTGCCCGGCGGAACAAACAAGCAGCGCTAAGGACTGGTCTGGAAGAAAAATGGTCGCGCAGACAGGCGAAGGTATCGAGCGCTTCCACTGAGAAAAACACAGGACCACGAAACGAGACGCACTGCTTTCAATGTATTTCCGAAATCTCTGCACTTCTCACGTTCGCCCTCTGCTGCGGCACGCCATTCTGAATCCCCCGACCCTTTCACAGCGCTGGTACCTTGTTTCTTGACCTCTTTTGCGGAACTGCCACAGGAATGGCCAATCCCTCGATCCGCAGGCAGAAAGGATCCACTTTCCTTGTCCTCAACGAAGGAGACTTGGAGGAAGAATCTGGATATCGATGATATTGGGTGATGGATCAGGATACTGGCGCAGAAGGATTTGTGAGTTTGCTCTCAGAGTTCGATTTTTTGGTGTTGCAACCCAACGGCGGCAAAGGTAAAGGCCGCGGAAAAGGTAGAAGACCCGGCTTCACAAGCCGTAGAGGCAAAGGTGCAGGCGCGCGTTATATGCAGAGTATCCAGACAATTCAAGGTTTTTATGTGGAACATGCAAAAAGGGAAAGAAAGGTGGCGAGCAAGGTTTTTAAAGAAAAGATCTCTTCGAAGGTAAAGGAAAGAGCAAGCAACGGAATCAGAATCAGCAGTGGAATGTTGCAACCACCGAAGAGCCCTCGACGTCGCGCGTGATTCATCATGGAACTGGAATGTCTCATACGGATACCGTGCAGACTTTTATGGACATGATGATGCTTGTTGGTCAGCGCGCGAAACAGACGGACATATAGATAGATCAGAAGAGGAACGAGGTGAGGACACGTATCAGCTGACCCAAGCAACCAGTCTTCAGTCTCCCAAATTCCGGAAATCATGCCATTGGTGACAACCGAGTTTCGCTGCTCAGCATTTTGCTTGAACGTACCCGTTTGGCACACAGTTTGGAGGACTGCCAGTATTCCGGTGATTCTGAAAAAGTAAATCCTCGTTTCTGTTCTTCTTTGGTCATGCTCAGTGAGTAGGTACTCTCCGACATACGTCATCATTGATTCAGGATGTACCAGAGCAAGGGGATCAAGGACTGCCATCAATCGATTGGTTCGAGCGCGCAAGCATCACAAAAATGCGCACGAGATCAATTTTGCTTTTGAAGCATCGCCGAGCCGGTTTTTGCAAACAGTGAGCAGTCCAACGTCCGTGAGAAACTTGTGATTTACTTTCAGAATGACCCAGCGCCGCCCTCTGGATGGATCTCCACTACAATCGACGTCCTCGATCGGGGTAACGTGCCGATCCTGTTCAGCGTTGAACAGCTCAGGAATCTTCGCGCGGCCACTATATGAGCACACACAAGTCGGAGACTTTCTTGATTGCCTGCTGGTCGGCCTGAAGCATCTTTCGTTGCCAGTGAGCAATTGGAACCTTAATGTCTTCGACGTCATGATGTTCGCCGGCTCGAACCGTAAGC